ATATATATATATATATTATAGCGAGATAAAACTTTAATTTTAATAAAAAAGTAAAATCAACTACAGTTAAGAAATTAGACTTAAGTTTTATCCTAATTTTTTTCACATTATTTTGATTTGGCACCTATATACGAACATAATCATCTAAGTGGATGTCCACATTTTATTTTACCGTTACAAGCTACAGAAGATAACTCTAGTTAGGGGTGTTTTCAGTAACAAGAAGAAGGCCATTTGAGTAAGAGAAAGAAATGGATAATATTGGAAAGCAGGAAGATGGTGAAAAGGTGGAAGAAGCAGTGAATGGTGTTAAAAAAGCACAGAACATAACAATAAAAGTAGTGCGTGGTAAGGGTTCAAGAAGAGGCTCATCATGTAGTTTCTGTCAGGCCGATGAATGTGGTGAGGACTTAAGCATGGCCAAGAGTTACAACCGCCGTCACAAGGTTTGCCAACGACATTCTAAGGCCCCTGTCGTTTTAGTTTCTACCATTCGTCAGAGGTTCTGCCAACAATGTAGCAAGTATGTATCATATCATATAATTGCATTGCCATTTGCCACTTTCATTTCTTCCATTTATATCTTTTATGTGAGCGTTAGTTTCTGTGTTGGTATTAAAAAAGTAGATTTGGCTACTAAATTCATATTAAAAATATGGTATAAGAGTTATTAAATTTATTAAACTACTTATAAATATTTAATCTTGTAAATTTTATGCTTGAAATATTTAATTTTTAACTTAAATAATATATTAAAGATCTTACATTATCTTATAATATTATAAAAGTAGAGTAATAATTATTTTATAAATTGTTTTTATAAGGTTAAATTAAGCTTTTTGGGAGGTTTTTTTTTTTTGTTTTTGTTTTTCGGGTGGCTTAGGTTTTTTTGAGCTGGGAAAAATTTATTTTTATTTTGGATTAAATGTCATGCAGGTTCCATGAACTTGCAGAGTTTGATGGCAACAGAAGAAGTTGCAGGATAAGATTGGCTGGCCATAATGAACGGAGGAGGAGAAAAGTTCGCGCAGACCATTGCTTAGAAGATGATCAGCTTCAGCCATAGGCCATGTAAAGTGATTAAGAGTTTATTTCAATAAAAAAAATAGATAAATAATTTTTTTCATCCATTAAAATTAATTTATACATAAACTAAAAAAATTAATATAAAAAACTTAAAAATTAATTTATTTAAGTTAATTTTAATTTTTTTAAAAAAACTTATTTTACTTCTCTCTTTTTTTCGTCCCTGGAGTATCTACCGTCGATAGCAGTGATTAATCTCCTCGCTACGTTAGAGGCACCTCAAAAGGTGGAATAGTTGGTTCTAAAATTTAACGCGGCTGCATACACAAGGCAGGATTCGAGACCTTGCTTAAGCGTGAATCAACTCCTAAACAATTTATTCAAAACAATAAACAATTGGCATACTTCTAACTTGGAAAATTTATCAGGCTGTGTTTGAAATTATGAAAAGGGACCGGATGGAATACATTGATATTATACCATGTCTTTAAAATGAGATGGAATCACTACTAGATTTTAATTCTTTAGCAACATTTTCTTGTTTACATTTATTAAAATGTTACTATATATTAAATAAATAGGTTATTTTACAATATTTTTTTTAAAAATGTCATTATAGATAGAGTAACACTTTTTATTTCAATATTATTCTTTTCAATTGTTTGCAAAATCAAAGTCCTATATCGAGTAAAAAAATTTCATATAAGTTATTTTGCAACATTTTTTTTTTAAATGTTACTATAATTATTTCTAAAATCAAAGTTTCACATTGAGTAAAAAAAAGATATATTTCTCTTATCTCTAATTGTTATCCATAATTAAAGTCTCACATCGAATAGATTAATAACTCATAAAGAGTATATATAATCACATAGTTATACTTAAGATAAACGAAAATTGATATTTTATATATAATTAGTGGTGACTAACTAAGAATGTCTTCCTCTAAAAAATAATTAAGAATGTCTTTAGTCTTCTCTTAAAGAAGTCCTAAGAGTTTAGGAGACATATAAATATATAACAATTGATAGTGATATCTAAATAAAAATTAATTATCATTCTATAGAATTAACAAAATCTTAGCAACATCATTAAAATATTACAAAAATATTACTTTGGCAAATGTTGCCTAATTATGTAAAAATGTTATTAAAAGTCTTTAATAAATGGACTATATACAACATTTGATAATATGTTGCTAAAATAAATTAGTAACATTTATACATAATTAAGTAATATTTTTTAAATATTATTAAAAATTATTTGTGTTGTAGTGAATGAAGTTGAATGTGACTTCTTTCTTATTTCTTTCGCTCTAATTTGGAGATATTGAATAAAACGAAGCACTTTTTTTTTCTAATCATAAAAATATTAAAATAGTGGAATGATAATTTTTATTTTTACACTCCATTTTGTCTTACAATAGGTGTCTCGAGAGGTTCAATTTTCTTCAAAGTCATATGGTTATTATTTCCCTCGGACACAAATTTCACTTATCTATACCATTTCTTTCAACAAAAAAAAAAACTCATCTATACAATATTATATGTTATTATTATTAGACAAAGAATATATGCTTTTAACCATTTTTTTTTTCACTTTTCTTTAAGATCATTGTACCTTATATATATATATATATATA